CGCGTCTCGTCGCCGGCGTCGCGCCGGGACGACGGCTCCTGCTCGTGGTCGGAGCGACAGGCATCGGGCGGCGGGGTGGCGCCTTCCCACGCGCGCTCCTGCGACGCCCTGCGCAAAACACACACGAGCGTTCACGACAAACTCGTTACGAGCGTGTTGTCATAGCTACATATTTATAATTACATAATTTTAATTATAATCATAATAAACATCGTCGATAATTATAGTTATATTTATAGTTACATAATCACAGGTACGACAAATTTATATCGTTGATAATTATGACGACGGTTTAGTCAATGGGATGCAAATCGCCTAGTGTCAATAAAGTCAATCGATGACAACGAGACTGCTCACAGTGTGACAGATGTCACAAGGTGTCAAGGTGACAATTCTTGTCAGGCTACAGATCGATCGATGAATAGACAGCAATGCACGACAGTGGGACAGATAACATTTGCGTGCAGAGATGCCAACACATATTTGAAGCAATCTGTAGTTTCTGGCCATCAAATTAGTAGTTCGAGGGTCACGTAGTGACCCGAGTTTGCTAAGGGGGTCCAAAAAAATGCCCCCCCCTGGAAAAAATTTTGATTCTGAGATACAATTTCCTGCATTCTGAGGGTCAAAAATGACAATAAATTGACAAAAAATGACAATAATTGACAAAAAAAAATCCTTTTTCGATCACAGAGAAATTCGTAGTTTGATACAAACTGGTCGTAGTGGTGCAAAAGGAAAAGAAATTCGTATAAAATACGGATAAATCATAGTGGTTGGCATCTGTGCGCGTGCACGCACAATGCTACTACAGATCCGACAAACAACGACTAGAGCTGGCAACGCTGCTACAGGAACTGCTCACCTGTAGTTCTTATCCCACTCTGTTGTTTGCTGCTGCTGCTGCTGCTGCTGCTGCTGCTGCTGCTGATGCTGCTGCGACGACTGGTCCCCTGAGCCGCGCCACTCTGGGTTAAGCCGGGGGTCCCACACGGTCGCCGGGGCGGCATCCCGCTGCTCAGGCGTGGTCACCGGCCACGCCTGCTGCACCGCGGCGTGGGCCGCGCCCTCGGCAAACACCTAAAACACACGCGTGACTATCAGCTCACCGTTC